CACACACAAGTCATATCCAAATCAACAAGATGGAAGATCAAAACACAAAGACAAATAAAGTAACCACACAAGATCACATGCCTTAAACCTCTTAAGAAGAATGATGTCAAACATCAAATCACAAACAAAGAAATGAGGGGAGAGAGAGAGAGTGGGGCAGCAACCACATCATGACTATCAAAATCAAGCATTCATTCATGGACATTCAAAGTAAAACACCCAAACACCTCAAAACAAGTTCATGCATTCAAATCATTCTCAAAGTAAGACACATGCCACAAAAACACCAAGATCAAGTATCAACTCAACAAGATCAAAAGTAAACTCAAATGATATGCATCAAGTTCAAAACCAAATTATAAAACAAAGTCAAAGAGGATCACACTCAAATTGAAGCACGAAAAGGTCATGCAAACATCTCACAAGTCAAACACAAGCGGAAAACATGACCATACAAGGCATGTGAGATGAAACACACATTCAATGGACCCCTAATCATGTAAATCAGAACCTCTAACATATTATCAAAAGAAAACAAGCACTCATGGGATCACACAAGATTACACCTCAAAAGTTAGGTTAAAACATGCACACACACATAGTTGAAACAACAAGGTTTTGAGGCATCAACCAAAAATAGAAACAAGTCCAAATACAATCCCAAACTTAAGTTAAGTAAATCTAAAATCAGTGTGCAAGAGATCACAATATGAATGGCATTGAAGCATCACCAATTGCATCAAACAAAGCAAGGTACTCAACTTATCGAGCATACATCGAGGGTCAAATAAAATCCAATGAAAAACAACCAAGAAATGATCACCAAGGCATCAAATCAGCCCTCAAATAATCCTCAATCAAACACCCAAGTGTGAGAGGAAAATTGGTCAAAGGGGGTATTCAAATGATGTCAAAGATCAAGCTTAAATCACAAGGATAAACAATAAAACCTCTTCACAAATTAAATTGATTAAAAATAATAAAATAAAATAAAAATTTTGAAAAATATCTTAACACATCAATTAATCAGAAAGTAATTTTTGTTGATTTTTAAAAAGGTTTTAACTATTTAAAATAAAATTAAAATGGAAATGGTAAATGAAATAAAATAAAATAGAAAAATGACAAAGGGGGTGTGAAAGCAAAATCCAGATGAATTGGATTCAATTGTTAGACGCGCATGGGCCCCAAAAACTGGTGTGTGGATAGCAAGGATGGCCTAAGCCCAATCCACAACACGTTCAGCAAAAACCAAAAACACAAGACCATTAGTGAAACGCATCGTTTCACTAATTGAGTTGGTCTCCAAGTCAAACGAGTGTACACGCGAGCGACAACTCATCAGGGTCAAATGGTCTTCCCTGCCACATCAGCAACCCACGTCAGACGCCAGAGCTAGGGCTTCGGTCGTCTTCTCCGGGAGGGTCGCCGGAGCTCAGGCCACAAACCACCACGAAACTAAAAAAAAAGCATCATCCCACACAATTTTTCATGCTGAGTTCAAATCTAACCTCAAAATACATGAAAAATGATTGTATCATCATCAAAACACGACATTGAAAAACAACACACCAACTGAAACCAACTTAAACCAAGACAAACAATAGATGAACCTTGCCCTTATCCATAGAGGACTTCAGATACCATACAAATAAGTCCAACTATACGCCTAGTATGCAAGAAAAGTTTAGGGAATCTTACCAAACGGAGTAGCTCCATTGGCCCTTGTTCAAGCACGATAATGAGATGGAAATCTTGCAGAATGCTTCCTTATCCTTCCAGAGCTATGAATCCACCCACAAAATGCAAAAAATGACTTGAGAAAAATGAGATTCGAAGCTCTGAAATTTTGAGAGCAAGAGTTGATTTTAGAACTACTTTTGAGCAAGAATGGCAGTCTCCTCTTTCTCTAGGGTTTGTACAGCTTAAATATGGTGGGTTTTAACTTGTTTTGAAGGCCCATGAGGAGTAAAACGATTTGTTTGAAAATTTTGCCAAAGAACCAACTTTCATGTGTACACGGGTTATGGCATGGTATTCATGTCTCTTTGGTCAGCATCCAAGACAAATAAGGGGATGTAAGTAAAGAAAAGTTTTAAACATGTGTTCTAAGCAAAGGGAAGTCTCATCCATAGCGCAGATGAGAAGGTGGCTCAGTCTGATGGTGTAAGCAAAGGGTAAGTCTTAGACATGCGCTCTAAGCAAGGGAAGTCTCAGACAATTGGTCTAAGAAGTTGTAAAAGACTTATGTAGAAGCATATGAGATTGAAATAATGAAGTGGTTATAATGAAAAAGTCTTGTGAGGCAATGGGACTGGACTACTCTCAATTAGGGGAGAAACCAGTATAAATCTTTTGTGTCTTCTGTTGTTATTTTATTTAATTCTGCTGTATCCACTGCTAACTGAATTAACTCAGAATCTGAACATCAGTTCTGATTCTGAAACTCTAGTCAAAAGCTAAATAATAAGAAAACGTGAAACACAATTCAACCATGTCGCGGAGGCTCCCTAAAGGAGTCACAGAGCTCTTTCTAAGAGTTTATCTAATCGTCATTCAAGGTCTTAAACCATGTCGCGGAGGCTCCCTTGAGGGTCAGAACGAACAATTTACATTTCACCATGCCCGAGTGTGGTGATAATCAAGCATAGTATTCACGTTTTCGATGTGCTCGTCTAGATCTCTAGTCTCTTCGTAGTTGTCAAACTTTGAGAGTTTTTTGAGGGACTTTAGGATCTGACTGTCGAGGATACGCTTTTAGAGTGTGTACCTTCTCAATCAGGAACTTGTCTTTTATCGTCATGTTTATCTTTCCTCTGAGAACGTCATAGTGGAATTCAGTGATGACGAGGTGCTTCATAGTGAGTATGCTACTGCTAGTTCCTCTTGAATCAGGTAGGAAAAACTGACATTTTTTAAACTGGAAATGATTTGGACACCTAGGAGATGCTTACCTTAAAAAGCTGGTATCCACGAGGATCGCTTGTGGTGTGGCTCCACGATTGTCATGTGATGCTGCTTCATGCATGGAGAAGTCTCTTGAATGAGTGTATTGCAGGTTTTCTTCAATCCTGAGGAGTCTTTCGGTTAAAAAATGTGAGTCATGTTGTTGTACCAAGTTGTAGGCATTGCAGAAAGGTTCATTCTCTCCATGCATGAATATGCTAGTTTGGAGTTGTTGAAGCTTTTGAGCATCTCTTGTACAGGGATTTGTGGTTGCAGTCAGGTTATTTGGAGGTTTGACCGTGTTACAACTATGGAGAACACTGAAAAGTCTGGAGGACCTGGAATGTGTTTTGGCTGAATGTAGGAGGAAATGGATTTTGAGGAGTTGGAACGAAATGAGTAGTTACTAGAATAGGATTGGTCTCTGATGTTGCAAGAGGTGTGGCTTCTCTTGCGAGATCGAGTGAGTTAACAATCATAATAGAGGCGGCTAGTCGAGTGGACTTGGATGTTGCCATGGTTTACGTAAGATTAACTAAACATTATAATAGAAAGAAGGACGAATGAAGCATATGAGCAGTGAAAAAGCACTGGTTTTCATAGAAATTCGAGGGAATCATTAGACGTTTTCACAAACAGCGTCACTGTTCTGAGGTGAAGAAAGCTCTTTAAGTGCAACGAAGAGAACTCCTGGTACGGCGGAGTAGAGAAGACATGCAAGATTAATACTCCAACGTCCAGTCAATGAAATCAAAGAGAAATATTTTGAGAGTAAAAGTGAAGAAATACCTAAAGTGACGTATCGTTGGGCTTATATGTGGAAGACAGTCAAAACTCCTTCAATCTAACTCTATGTAAGATGCACTGAGTTGTTTGATCATAGCTATGATCAAGTGTCATATTTTTGGCGAGCACCCTCGTGTTCCTTAATTTGCTAACCGGAAACTACAAATAAATTGGTTCTTATAATTGGGCGATCTGACACAGGCTTTTGATTCTTAGTTGATCGATTCTCTCCTATAAAGTTAATAATTTTGAATTGAGTTGGATAAATAATTTACCTACCTTATTTTTATTTTTTTTTAAATCTTGTTCTTGTTAGTTTATGATTTGCATATGCTAAGTAATAGATTATTATTATTATTATTTAAAACGCTTTAATAGTAGTTATCATTATTTTTGTTTGTGTGATTGAATGTTCATTTTACAATCCCTTTGAATTTGAAAGACATAATATAGTATGACTCACATTTTGTAGCAGAAAAACATAAATTTTGCATTGATACTTTTCAGTTTTCTCAGTGTCAGCGCCTTATATTATGGAGTTTTTTAGTTACACTTGTAAAAGCTTTTTCCCTTTACTAAGCTGTTTCTTTTGGTGGTTGGTTGAGACTTGCAAAAGCAAAAGCAAAATAATCACGTTTACCACTACAACCATGAAGCAGCTGGCGCTGATGGTGCTAATCACATGAATCATACCATACACATAATTTGGTCCCTTTTCAAATCTAAAAGTTCCATTTCATCTTTTAAAACTTCATAAAAGTATAGATAAAGATTATAAAAATTGGAAAAACAATTGCATAATTGTGGAACATGTGTCGTATTAGTTACAAACACCGGTACATAAGACACTGAACACGCTATCAATCTGAAATGTCAAAAAATTGAATAATAAATTACATGTGTCTGTATCAGTAAACACTGATACATTGGACGCTGAACACGCCATCGATCTGAAGTCTCGATGCTATAAAAATACACTATTAGCCTTCTTAGAGAAAAGTGAAAGAAAACAAACCAACCATTGCTCATCTTTACTAATTAATAAATTAGCTGACATATACAAGGTCATTCAAGAATACACAAAAAACCAAAACCTAAGACTTAGTACAAACTACAAACCAACCAAAGTCATTCATGTCATTTGAATGTTGATTGGTAGTTGAAAGAGCATTAGCACAAGAAGAAAAGTTCCTAAACTCTTTCCGTCGTCGGACAAAACCAGTGTAGTCGATATTTACACCTTTCGTGAAGAATTAGAAAATGTTATGTTATGAAGAATAGTCGGCCTGTAGAAAACTTTCGTAAGAAGTTCCTTTGAGCTTGTTGGCAACTTCATCCCAGTTTCTAATGTGTTCTGATAATGGTCCTTTATGTATCTTCACTTGACGGCTCGTTAATTCTATTACCGGCAATCCTAAAAACTCTTGCACCTCTTTTAGCTTCTGCAATATAAACAGAAACGGTGAAATCGTTTTTTTGTGAACTTTCAATGTATTGGCAAATGTTATAGTACAAACCGTTCGGACTTATTTATTTCAGTTTATCTACTGACATAAACACTTGTGAGACTATCACAAAACAACTTACGAAATGTTTATGAATGTTCATAAGTTGTTTTAAGCTTATACGTAAACAATTATATGACAAGCACTTATACTATAACGAGGCTCTTACGGTTCGATTTCTGATAAGATCCTCGTAGTACAAAATCATATGCCTTGTGGTGTTGAAGTATTCTAGTGCTGTTGCAGCTTTTCTCTCCATATCATTCAGATCAGCCAGCAACGACGTCGAATTTATGGTAGGCTTGTACTTTGAAAGCGTATCAGCCTGAAAGAAGCCGAGTATGAGTTTCATTTTCGGTATAAAAAAGAAAAGAAATGAAAGGCGAACAAGATAGGAAAAGAGACCTCTTCTTTAGAATGAACATGAGACTTATGAGTGCCATTCAATAGCTTAGCATAACGGTCATACGAATTGGCAAGCGTCGATACCACTCGGCGCAACAAGTTTCTCCGGAAAAGAAAAATGACGGAAACGCCTCTGCAGTTGAAGTAATCGACTATTTCCTTAGGGTGCTCCAATAATCCCTGCATAAAACTAGAAATGTCTTAACTCTTTCATTACTAAATATTAACCTTAGTAACCTATGCAACAAATGATAAGTATCTATGCATTTGTGTAAACATAACTTATGTCACACCGATACCTCAGATTAAAGACGTGTCTAGGGTCGGACACAACACCAAAAAATGTGGATACATTCAAATATTTCATTTTTTTCAAATTAGTATCAGAGTTGACATGTTAGTGACAGTATCGTGCCTGGTGTCTATGTCTGAATCAATATTTCGTATATACCACCGTTATTACTAGCTAGCCACATTGTAATTCCATTTTGATGTCGTTCGGAAGTTGTATTGTCATTCCATTAGTTTCCAAATCAATACAATCTCATATCTATTAAGTTCATGTTGGTGTAACACTCATTCTGAATTAAAATTATACCAAATCACATCCGCATCAAGAAAGAATGAAATTCGCAGAAGACGAAAGTGTGAAATTTTACCTGATTAAGCATCCACTTCAAACCAATTGCAGCAGAACACTCATTCTTGGAAGCACTATTGAGCCAATCCAAGTTGTAAATTTCATCTAAAGTCTTAACTATAGTAGATACATTTACTCGTCTTTCCGCAACCGAAAATATCTCCCCGTTCGAGCTTACATTCATATGACTATTCAAAAGGGTCTCAAACCAACCACTTCCCGATCTTTGATTCGTCAATATAGCAAACAACCGAATCGGATTTTGAGCACACTCACTCCTAGCCACAACAAAAACAACAACATTTAACAAAGTCCAAATTGTAACAACCAAAAAATGAAAAACATGAATCATAGAAACTAAATTCTCATTACCTATTAAAAGACACAGGATTAGGATAATGTAGGTTAGAAATGTCTAATAGGTTGAAAATATTCCTAGAAGGCTTCTCAATTTGTTGCAACTCAAGAAGTATAGTTCTAGCATGAATACTTGTTTGTTTCAAACAAGCATAGAATACAAAAACACCACACACCATTGAAAACATCAACAAAGACATCCTTAACAACATGGGTGATTTCTTCTGAGACTTTATAACAAGAATGTCCTGCAACAACATAGATCATAAATTTGGAGGTGAAAGTTGATTAAAGATAGAAACTTTATGAAAAATTAAACATGCCCATTAAATAAAATGATAATTAAATGAAGATTAATGGGCCCAAAATTCAAACACAAACATAGACAGAAACATAGTATGTTACCTTGTTGAAGTAAAACATGTCTTGTACTACCATTGTTGAAGTGAGAGAAGTGAATGTTTGAGAGGCAAAGATTGAGGTTTGGAGTTTGGAGTTTGGATCTTGTTTGTGCTTTGAAGACGTTGAAAAAAGCACTGTTTTTCAGTTCTCTCTTCATTCCACTTGAACAGAAAGTAGTAAAGAAAGAAACATATTGTTGAATATTTTATTCTAATTTACTGTGTCAATACTAAAAAAATATTATAAATAAATTATAGACGAGTGAGGTGGGTCCCTTTGTCCCTTTATTAATTTTTTTTTTTAAATAAGAAAAAGGAAAGGTTACTTTATTAATATATCGTGATTAAAGTTTTAATAATTTTTAAATAATTCTTTTTTTTGCATAATTTTCTTTTTATGTTAGAGATTGAATTCAATTTTTTTTAGATAAAAAGATTTTATATATTTTAGTTCGGTGGTTAATTTTTCCAATTACTATGATCCTTTTGTTTTTGAAAAACTCAAAGATAGGGTAAGAAAAGTAGAAGATTTGTGAAATTAGTAATAATGGGTATGGGAGGTGGAAGCAGCATCATGATGTTGTAACGTAACTTAAACGGCATTCAGTCCCGCTCTCAATGTCTGACGCCAGGAGATTAAAAAAACTTAAGGTTTGTGGATACCTTTTCAATTTTTATTATAAAAATTTAATTTTGTTAATATATTAAATAATCATTTTAGCTTATACATCCATTATTTATTAGATCTAAAAAATATTTTTTTTGATAATAAAAATTCAATAGAGCATTTTTTTTAATTAAAAAATTTCTCTTAAATAAAAAACTTACACATATGAAAGTCAACTAATATATATTCTAATCACTCGGAATAGACAATGTACATATAATAGTATTATAATATAAAAATAAAACAATTGATGAGTGCACATCGCACAAGTCAAAATCTAAATTACAACTTTAAATTGTTACCAAATGTTGTTATACACAGGCGGCACAACTTTTTTAATACCTAGTCAAAAATATAATTTATTATTATTTTTCTATTTCATTTGAAAAAAGCTAGTTTAAGTTTGAAGGAGGAGAAACCTCATTTTTCGTCATATTTTTTAAAAAATTGGATTGAATCAGTCAAATTGATAATTAAAAAATTGTTCGTGGGATCTAATTGCTGATTTAAATATATTTTTGATCAGATCTAGGGCTGGAAATGAGTCGAGTCGAGTCGAACTCACCTCAGCTCGGCTCGACTCGTTAAGAATTGTTCGAATTCGAGTTCGAGTTCGAGTTCGACACGAACTTTTTTTTAAGCTCAAACTCGACTCGTTATAAGTTCACGAACAGTTCGATTCGACTCGTTAGGTTCATCTCATTAGGTTCAGCTCACATGGTTCACGAACTTAAAAACTATTTTTTAAAATATATATATTTTTTAGTATATTTGACATTTTAAATAAATATATATTTTTTAAATAAAATATTAAAATAAAATAAAAGTTATCATATTGATATTTAACTTTATCTTCAAAATCTACTAATTCAAAACCTACACAACTTTCAAGAGATACATTTGAGAGTCTAACTCAAAAACTACTAAATTGAAGATTAAATTTGTCTAAGATTTGAAGTAAATATTTAAACCTAATCTTAAAGACAGTATAATTCTTTTCATATGTAATCGAGTTGACTCATGAACCTAACGAGTCGAACTATGTATAGTTCAAGTTCAGCTCATTTAGTTAACGAACTTAATTTTTCGCTCATATTCAACTCATTTGGTTCATGAACCTAGTTCAACGATTTAATTGTCGAGTCGAATTCCGAACTATTTTCGAGTTGGTTTGGTTCATTGCCAGCCCTAATCAGATCTAATTAATTAGTGGATTTTTACCAATATTTTAAAAGTAAATATATTGTAAAAATGAAAGAAGACAAAAGTAATTATTTTTCAAAGAAATTAAGAAAAATAAAAGTGTATTTAATATGTTAATTTTATGTATTGGTGTTCCTAAATTAATAAAGTATCCTTTAATTATATTTTACTACAGTTTTAAATGTAAGAAAATTTCAGAATTTCCATTTAACTAGTATATTTTTAAACAATATATTACGAAAACCAGTTTTTCAATTTCCCGAAGTTGACTCTAAGCTCTGATGCATTATTTGTTGATGGTTTTTAATTTATACTACAACTGAAGCATTCACTGCAGTTGTATAATTGGTCTGTCAAAAGCATTAATAACCTCTGCCACCTGAAGAAATAATTTTCAACATTTTTTTGAAAGCTGATTGGTTTGACTATAATACAATTAGAAAAATAAAAGTACAATAAGCTATAATGATTTTGGTGTGTGTACATTAACTATGAATGATTTTTGAATTTTTTACCTAAATAATTTAACTTTTTAAAAAAATCTCAAAATAACTTATTTTTTAAAATTATTTTTAAAGTATCTCAGTTAAAATTTAGGATTACATAAGGATGTCAGATGAATTGACAACACCTTGTTAAAACTATAAGGGAGTCGCCAATTGAATTGGAGACTCCTCATGCAGTCTTCAATTCAATTGGCGACTGGATGTTGAACTTACAAGGGTGTCGCTAATTCATCTGGAAATCCTTTGTATTTTAAATTTTTTTTATAAAATAGATACTTTCAAAAATAATTAGTAAAATAAGTCAGACGGAAAAATAAATGTTATCATTAATTAAAAAAAAGTATTATATAAACTAATGTTGGCGACCGGGTTGGTCATACCGGCCACCGGTTCCACATCCCCTAGGCACCCTAACTCGTTGCGCTCGTCCCCCACATTGTTGATTCACGCCTGGTGTTTGAGGAGTTGAAGTCTTAGGAACATTCCCAGATGGTTCCCGAAGGATCTCTTGCATTTCCATTAGGTCCTATGTGTTGAAACTGAGTGTGCGACCCATGCCAGAGTAGTTCGAATGTGATGAAGGGGTCATTGGTGCGCGGCCTGGACGGTTTAAGAGGGACATTGGTGTGAACGATTCGTTGGTGAAAGGTTAAAATGGTAGTGGTGTTTCAAAGTCATAAGGTTGTTGAGATGGTTGAGTGGGTAGACCAGGGTATGATGTCGGAGCGTTTTGGCTATGGAAAGATGTTTGGGCGTTATGGCTATGGTATGATGTACCCTCGTTGTTATGGCTATATCTTGATGTTGTGTTGGGGCCATAGCCATATTGGGATTCTGGGTAGTAGTCAGTGTGCGGGAGATGGTATGGGAGGCGTTCTTGATATTGTGGTTGGGTGTTTGGCATGTTTGGATGGTGAATGGGTTGATAACTCTGATGGGTGGGATTGTGAGTAACATGGCCTTTCTGGTGGGTTAGACGTTGAAGCGTCTTGTGTATAGGTGGTTTGGCGTGGGTCGTATAAATATTTGTCTTCGGAGACAAACCCGTTTGCAACCGATCAATACCAACCGGTGATGTTGTCTTCGTATAACATCTGGTTTTTATTATTTTCATTTTCTTTGTAGAATCTTCATCTAATATAAAACTGGCGTACCATATTTTAGGCGCGAAAGTAAGATACCTTGGCCTCTCGAGTTCTCATCTAGCAAGTCGGCACCCAAAAGTTCCTCACAAATTGAACCATTAAGGTCTGTTGTTCCATTGACCACCTTGCCATCAATACGCAAACCGAGTAACATGTACACATCCTCTAAGGTCATGGTACATTCACCGGTTGGAAAAAAGAAGGTGTGTGTCTCTGAGCACCATCTCTCTTGCAAAGCTAGTATAAACTTTGCATCAATGAAATAAGACATGATTTTGCTTACATGTCTGAAGCCGGCGAGCTCAATATGTGGTTGAATTAATTCGTCGTGTGCAGCATATTCATGGGCACGACACCGAAACTTAGAGACTTCCTAATAATAGTAAAAAAAAAACATATTAGAGTAAAAAATTATAAGAGTAAAAAAAATTATAAGAGTAAAAAAAAATTAACATAATCACTAAAAATTGACATATACAAGAAATAATGAACACTTACATAAGTCGCGATATTTGCGACAGTGCCTCTATGTGTTTCACCCATTGTCAACAATGCCATTATAAATGATTAAATGCGAAGCAGATAACTAGTATACTAACACAAATAGACTTGATATTACCTCTCTACAACAAGTAAGAATCAGATGGTGCATTTTAACCATGCTTGTATCATCCTTTTATAGAGAATTTGTCTGAACATGCAAGCCAGAGGAATTGGCGACTTAGTTGAGCATTTACATAGGGGTGTCAGTCCAATTGGCGACCCCAGCTAGGGAATCTAGCTCAGCAACATAGCCTGAGCCTTATTACATGCATGCAAAGCATGCTGTCACCCACATGGCGACAGACCACATTAAAGTTGTACCATGTCGCCAATGCAGATGGCGACTCCTTTAAATGCATGTTAAATGTCGCCAATTGAGTTGGCTTCTACAATTAATTAGTTTGTCTTTTTCGTCAATTAATATGGCATCTTAATGGATATCCAAAAAATCATAAATATGTTCCCATGCATGCAGACACTCATAGAAACAATTTTACTAGTCCATTACTAGTTCTTTTAGTATGTCATCTGCACCCAGATATATTGTTAACACCCACTACAACGGAGAGACATATGTCCCGATGTATATGGGTTTGGTTTTCAAAACACCGAAACTATATGTTTCACAATCAATAGAAACACAAGTTTCTTGCATTTCAGAGAAAGATTGGAATCGAAATTAGGGCTCGGTCCTAAAGCACAAATAATATTTCAAAACCCGGTTTATTTTGAAACCAACCACATTAAATTTTATCCACTTAAAGTGCGAGACGAAGAAGATGTAGAAAATATGTTCCTAAGTCACGAACATTCTGGTTTCAACTACATTAAGTTGTATATGTTCATCCAATAAAATATTCCATCTCAACAGTCTCAGATCACCAATCAATCAACAGTTTTTGACTCAGATGAAACTGAATCACAATACTCAGATGAAACGGAACCAGAGGTCAACATCGTTGATATGGAAGAA